GTATAACCTAGGAAGAGGATATTGTATATTTGGAAAAAAATGTTAACAAAAAATCAGATTAATAATTATGGAGGCTTCTTGCACCAGACATATGAGGTCAAACAGAACATGCATTTCTATTTGGTAAAACCAACATTTAAGTAAAAATGAAAATAACTCAGTCACCCTTTAGTACTTTTTCCCTAGCAGGTATGTTAGATAGCTTTTCCAACTGAGAATTAGAAATGGCATCTCAGTTGTGCATTGAACATTTCAAGGAGAGAGCAACATTGTCTTCAAACAAATAATGACTAGAAATTCCTTATTATTGGAAAAAGAAAGTTTCCATGTAGGAGGAACATGTTCCAAGATATAAATCACTATCATTGGTCTTGCCAGGTATGTAATGAGTTCAGAGAAGAAATGTTTTACACCTGAGATTTTTTTTTTAAAGCATCTTTTACTCCTGTCAACAACAATTAATCTATTTGGCTTAGAAGCAATTACTGAAAACTATTTAGTTGACATTATACATATTTGCTCTGTAGACTCAAAGGCAACTAAAAAGCTGGAGCTTCATGTTTTGGCTGCCACTTGTTTTTAATTGTGGACTGGATTCATTTTATTGCTGTGGTTTCTAAAGTGTGAAGCAGGCAGAATGCCTTAATGAGTTTGGACACTTGCCAGGAAGACACAAAATTCTCAGTAATCCTTCTCTGTGTATTTCTTTCTTGCATCAGACTCATTCATGAAGTTAGCAAATAAAGTAAGGATTGCTAGAGAATGCACAATGGTCCTAATGCAACACAGTAAATCAATCTTAATGCTATTAAGCTGGGCCTGAACTGTTGGATAACATACCTCAAAAAACAACTTAACTCTATAATGTGTCTGAAGATGTCTCTCTTGATACCCTCCATGCTCACTTCCCTACCTGACATTTAATTAACTTTTTTTTTAATCATGGTAAACTATAATGGAGAGAGGCATAGTACAAAGCAAAGTGTAAGTCTATAGCATCATTTTGCATTGCAAGCATGCATTCAGGCTCAACGGAAGCCCCATGGGCCTTATTAGAAAAGAAGAATGATGAATGACTCTAGTACACTTATTTATTTCTTTATTTGTTTACTGTGGAGTCTTTGCAGATTTATCCTACTTGTTCTATCTAAGCATATAGACGGGGACGGGGGTGGGGGGGGTGTCTCTTCTAATTTCATCCTCAAAGCAGCATACTTTGAAGTAAGAGAATGATTGACTTGAATACTCCAGTGAGCTTTGTGGTTGCAAGGGGACAATAAAACCTGGATTTTCCCATTCCAGAGCCTAGTTTCCACTATATTAGATTGCTATAACAAAACATTCTGGGGTAGGAGGGATGTCCTGAAACAATCTCTCCAATGTTCCTTCCAATTGTCTGTGCATGTTTGCTCATGTGTGCACTTTGTGTGTGTGTGTGTATGAGTGTGAGTGAGTGTGTGTGTGCGTGTGCGTGAGAGAGAGGGAGGGAGGGAGGGAGAGAGGGAGAGAGAGAGAGAGAGATTGGCCACGCCTCTGATGACAGTCATTTTGCCAATTGCATGGAACTCATAATAGCTGTTTTATAATAATACTACAATATTTCTGGAGCATTACCTCTGCCGTATAATTCACAAGATCAAGCAAAAGGGACCATTTTAAAACTAGAAAGACAAAATGGTTGAAAACTGTGTTATTCACATCTATGTTACCAAAATCCAATTTGACTTCCAGCAAAACCTTCTTTGACCCTGTAGGTCTTCAGATCTAAAAACAAAACCAAATCAATAGAAGCTTTCCTTACCAAGCTGTCCATTTACTGTCTTCAGTACAGTCACACTGATTTGTCAAATTTGGGGGACTTAACTCCAACATCTGTTCATGCTTTATAGCACGTTCTAAAATGCCTGAGAAACAGATAGCTTTAAGTCATCACTTGTCAGCATTAATCAAGCATAAAAGCAAGTGACAAGCAGATTTTGCTGGTTTAATGAATAATTCCAGCTCATTTGGTCCATCTCATTCAAACTATTATAATCGAATAGGAACTGACTACTGACTGTCCCAGCTCATCTTTGTCAATATATCTAAATACAGGTCAGTGCAGGTAATCAAATTTAGAGTGTTGCTGAGCCTTTCTTATATCTATGGATGCATGCATTATATACTTTGCTTCACATTTTGCACTTGTCATTATTGTGAAGCAGCTCTGTTGGACAACAATCCTTTCATCTCTACTGGCTATGCATAAAAGCAGTCCTTTTGTCATTTTTATGCTACCTTCAGTGAACATCAGGTCACCGGAGGAGATGCATTCAACAATAAACCATGTAATAAGCAAAACCAATCATATCAGTGTAGTTTGAAATGGCCTTCCAAGTGATCCTTTTCAATGTATTTATTTCCTGGAAGTTAAAAATTAGAAATTATTATCACATGCCTTTTAAAGCTATAGAGATATAAGATCCCAAGTCTTGCAAATGCTACATATTTACAAACAAACAGGAACCACAGCTCAAGAATAGGAAGTAAAAATATATATAATCTTTGCCATAGGATTTAATTAATCAACAGAAAGGCACTTAAAATTATCAGTCTTTCCCAACATAGAGATTATTGCCCCTGAAAATTAAATACATTGAATAACTCAGGAAGGAGGAATTGAAAGTTGACATTTCTCAATATGGCATATTTAATAAAATGAAGCAAAAGCAGCCTTGGAGGTTGGTTATTGTTTTTTTCCAGAGCAACAAATGTTTATTGCCACTATAAATTATCTGAATAGAATATACAGGCTCAAAAAATTACTTGGACATAATTAGGCCATCTTTGTGGCTAAACATGCTTATGTTTTGAGTGATTTACATGTAAAGTGAGAAATAGGAGATACAAAGGTCAAATGGTCCCAGGCTTTATCTTCCTGCAGTTAATACAGATAATCCTCGACTTACAACAGTTTATTTACTAACTGTTTGAAGTTATAATGGCACTGAAGTGACTTATGACTATTTTTCATACTTTTCACACAACCGTTGTAGCATTCCCATGGTCACATGATCAAAATTCAGATGCTTGGCAGTTAATTCACATTTATGACCTGGGGTGATGTCCTGGGGTCATATGATCACCTTTTGTGACCTTCTGACAAGCAAAGTCAATGGCAAAGCCATTGTATTAATTGAGTGTTATTATACACTTAACAATTGTATTGACAATTTAACAACTGCAGTGATTCACTTAACATGAGTGGCAAGAAATGTTATAAAATGGGGTGAAATTAACTTAAACTGTCTTGCTTAGTAATAGAAATTTGGGGCTCAATTGTGGTCATAAGTCAAGGACTACCTGTACTTTTAAGTCAAGGGTAAGCAGCCTGAGTTCTGAGTAATGTATTTGATGTGTGGGTCTCTGGAGTAACTACTTGAACACAATTGCTAAAAATGAGTTAGTGTAGTCTTCTTCCATTTTGATGTGGAAGCACTGAGAAATGATTATATAAGCTTAACCATTAGATAAAGATTTTCCTCAAAGTTAAATTAAAAGGACTCAAAAAATATCTGTCTTGCCTGCTCTATATCATACACCATCATACACTCATACACAGGGGCCCCTGAACATAAGGCCTGTGGGAAGAAGCTGAGGTCTACTTTGACAAACAATTTCATGTGTGAGGAAGGCAAAAAGGCAAAATGATTTGCCTCAGTGGAGTATATTAATTGCCTCCAACCTTTCCATTGTCTCCTCATATCTATCCCTTGCAAAAGCAGGAAAAGGCTTTTGCATATTTGCTAGGTAAGTGCTTCAGCCTCCTCCAGGTTATCTTCAGATCTCCTCTTAGCATCTAGCGTTCAGCTTTTGCAAGTATTGAAGAAGCAGCAAGGAGGGGTTAGGATGCCAAACAAAGCATAGCAACATGACCACTGTTCTGAGAATGAAGGGACACTATGCTCTGTGAAGCAGCTTCAAGTGGAGGCTTCACTTGGACTTTAAATCAAAGCAGCTTTCAGAAGATCTTCAAACTGTACTGGATACCCCCAAAATATGCTCTATCAAATCGCTGCCCACTCTTGATTTGTATAATAGCAAGTGAAAGTGTAGCCTTTTAGGTCTTGAAGTGTAATTTGCTACACTTCCATCCAATTGTGAATGATGTTTGAGGTGTAGCTGAATAATATCTGAGAACTATAGGCTCCTTTCTCTAGTATTTCTTTCTAGGAAGTAGTCTGAAAAATGGATAAACTGCCTGGATGAATGGATGAACACACAAAATGTATTCATGCCATGGTAAACACTTTACTCCTCTTCATAGTTTCTTTCACATATGCACCAGTGGTGGGATTCAAAATTTTTAACTACTGGTTCTGTGGACGTGGCTTGGTGGGCGTGGGGTGGCTTGGCTTGGAGTGGCTTGGCGTGGCTTGGCATGGCGTGGCTTGGCGTGGCTTGGTGGGCATGTCAGGGGAAGGTTACTGCAAAATCTCCATTCCCTCCTGATCAGCTGGGACTCGGGAGGCAGAGAATAGATGGGGGCGGGGCCAGTCAGAGGTGGTATTTACCGGTTCTCTGAACTACTCAAAATTTCTGCTACTGGTTCTACCAGAACTGGTCAGAACCTGCTGAATACCACTTCTGATATGCACAGGCCACATGTAAAGGAGTGTAGAGATGCCCTCTGGGTTAGAGAAAGAATGAACAATCTTGTTTCATTCGAGAGATTAATCAAGCTTTTTTTCCCCAAGCATCAATTCAAACAGCACAGAAATTGCTGCCTAATTACTTCTTAAAAGTCAGAATTATTATGGTTGTTGTGGATTTTAAATGCTGATGTTGATTCTTGTCTTTAGCTCTTAGCATTTTACTGATCTCAGATTGAAATATTCTGCTTTCTATATATACTGTCTTGATGGTGATTGTGTGCTAAGCGTGACATCACATTGTCCTGCTTTGCACCCTTGGTAAGGCATTTCTTTCAGTAATAATGATGATGATGACTGAAATCTTACCATGAATATACGCAGGGAAGCTGTCAAGACATCTCTTCCCTTCTTTGCTCCATCTCCAGGCAACTGCTCAGGAATGACAAGACTGACTAAACAAAGCTGAACAGCCCATGAATATGTTTTGCCACATAAATCTGATTAAGGCACTCTGGAAGAGAGAAGGAGAGAGAGAGATGACAGTTTTGACATTAAGAGGCGAAGATGGCTTAATCTCCATCTGTGTTACAGTCTTGATGCTTTTCTGTTACTCCAAGCATTCCATATCACCTGAAACATTCATTTTTTCAGGATTGCTATTCTAAAGAGTCAGGAAGCTTTCATAAGATGATACTGTATTGCATTCAGTAGTAGAGACAATTTATATTCACCCAAGAGGGCACATTTAGTTTCTCCAATTCCATTACTGTAAAGTTCTCTGTATGGCTCTGAGCAACCTTCAGTTTCCACAAGAAGCTTTTTAAAGGACATTTAAATATCCAATTAAGCATTATAGGTTGGAAATGTGGCAAATATGCAAGCCAAAACACCCCCATATCCCTAGTTGGTAGCTGTGGAGCCCCCAAATTAAATTCATTTGAAAAAGAATAACCCAAATCTCATAAGGTCATCAAAATGAAACAGAGTTTAATATTCTCATGTGAGATCTTACAAGTAAGATGTGATTTTACCAATTTAATTTTTAATTTTGTTTCTTTTGTAACTGGCTTCTGAAAAGATTGTCATTTCCTGATCTAAATACATGGAATGAATTTATCACTCTCAGCATGAAAGAAATAGAATGAAATTTAATACAGAAAGTGAAACCTAGGTGGAAACCAAAATAAAGCTTGATGAATTACTACAATGAAGCAATCTTCAGATTTTGAAGTCCTTTTAAAAGGTAAAGTATAGTTGAATATATTGTTTGCTTGTTTTTATCAATACATGACCAATGAGTATTGTCATTTTTTAATATTTAATTTTGAAAAAAATAAACCCTTACTATATTAAATACTTTGGGCAGTTTTATTCCAATGAGGTCTCTATTAAATAAGAGATTTGATTAAGCCGATTAGGCTGCTAATGGCCTGGATCTTGACAGTCTGATATGATCTATGTATATTTCTCAGATTAGTATAAAATAGCACACTAAATCTCTTATCAGCTGTCAAAGATCATACAAATTCTAGGTCATGTCAACTCAGTAACGCACCCAAATAGAGATCCCGTTTGTTTATTGGTTAAAGCATCAAGCTAGAAACCAGGAGATTGTGAGTTCTAATCCTGCCTTAGGAATAATGTCAGCTGGAAGGCCTTGGACTCTTAGCCCTAAGAAGAAGGCAATGGCAAGTCACTTCCAAAAATCTTGCCAAGGAAATTGCAAGAACCAGTCTAGGTAGATACTAAGGGTCAATACTGACTTGATGGCAACAAAACACAAATAAACATTTTCCCAGATAATATGATAAACTCCTTTACTGGCTGAAATACATCCATTAGGGATATGAATATGAATACTGTTGCATTTCAATAAGCACATTTTATATTATATCTGTGTCTTTTGGGGAGGGGGTATGTTACCTAGCCTACCATTCTTTAGAATCAGAGCATCTCAATCTACTCAACCAGAATTTTTCATGCCTACCTCTATTGCAGGGGTATAAAATTATGTAACTATAATTTTCTTTCCTCTATTACAATCTATGTTTTTATATTTCACTTCTTAAACTTCTGTTTTTTGTTTAGCATTGGGGAGATACCAGACTGAGAATATAAAACTCTTTCTCAGCTAAATCTTAAAAAAAAAAATACAGAAAAACCATTTGTTGTGATGATGGAAAGGCTTTTTTGTGATGAATTACCATGTTCTTTCACAAATGTGACCAAATTATATTAGCTGTTTCCTTCAGCCAAATACTAAAACAAATGCCTTTATTTTGCAAACTAATCAGTTCTATTTAAACAACCCATTCAACACATAGCATCATGTATGACAGTTTCTTAATTATCAAAATTAAAAAAGAATATGTGGTTGTGAAGAAAACCTTGGAAAGACTTTGCAAAGTTGCTGGACTGTGATAGTTGATCAATGATATCCAGTTAAGTATCTTATCACAGCATCTATTTATTGATTCTCACCACCAATTTCAATATATAAGATAATACCTACAACTAAATTTAGAAAACCTGATGCAAACAATGTCCAATTGATTGGTGAAAAATGTTGTTAACACTTATATCAACTGTGTACCAGGTCTGTCAAAAACTATTTATAAATACAAATGATGTATTCAACTGTTTGTAGCCTTGCTAGAATTGCTTATGTCATAACATCACTAGCCTGAGAAGTTTAGTGGACAACAAAAGGAGCCTTGGTGACGCAGCAGACTAAAGCACTGTTAAGTAACACCAGCTGCCTGCAATTACTGCAAGTTCAAATCTTACCAGGCTCAAGGTTGACTCAGCCTTCCATCCTTTCGAGGTAGGTAAAATGAGGACCCGGTTTGTGGGGGCAATAAGCTGACTTTGTATAAAAAAGAACACCGCTTTGGGGCGGGGGGCAAAAGCCCTACTAAGCAGGTATATACAAAAGTATGAAGGCTATTGCTTAACGCATTGTAAGCCGCCCTGAGTCTCCGGAAAAGGGCGGCATATAAATCGAACTAATAAATAAATAAATAAATAAATAAATAAATAAATAAATAAATAAATAAATAAATAAATAAATAAACAAGATCATCACTGAGAATGTAGGAAAAATTGTCTCTTAATTTATTTTCAATAGAAATGATTTAATCTGCCAAAGCAAAAGCTGTCACAGCACAAATAAATATATAATTCATGGCACCCATATCTATCTAGGTCCAAAATGATGTGGAAAACAAAGGTATGTGTTTAAAGATATTTAGCTATCTGGGAATGTTAAATAGAGACAGCATATTAGGCAGGGCCTAATAGAGAAGCTTGTTAATCAAAAGGTCAGCAGTCTAGTTCGAATCCCTAGTGCCATGTAACAGGGTGAGCTCCCGTTACTTGTCCCAGTTTCTTCCAACCTAGCAGTTCGAAAGCACGTAAAAAATGCAAGTAGAAAAATATGGACCACCTTTGGTGGGAAGGTAACAGCGTTGCATGTGCCTTTGGCATTTAGTCATACCGACCACATGACCATGGAGACGTCTTCGGACAGTGCTGGCTCTTCAGCTTTGAAAGAGAGATGAGCACCACCCCCTAGAGTTGGGAACGACTAGCACATATGTGTGAGGGGAACCTTTACCTTTAATAGAAGAGCATATATTGGAGAATAATGAATTAATCAATAATACTTTAAGGGAAAAGAATAGAACATAAGAATATATTCTGATGCAACACTATTATGGGTAGGATATGCATAAATCTGCACATCATTGCTATGATGAGACATAAATCACAGGTACACTATCTGTAGCACAGTAATTAAGTGTACTCCTCATCCAAGAAGTCTTTTTGCATTCCTCCTCCTCCCATGCTACTGATTTTCAGTAAATAAGTTCAAGCTAACTTATTAATTTCAAGACTGAATAAAATGAAATGTAGCAGAATTGGTAGCAGTAATTATATCGAAGACCTGGAATATTTGCATGATATATTAAAATACTAGCAACAGCCACTTTTTCCTGGCTATAGTTTTTTTTTATAATAACTACTTCATTCACAAATTGTCAGACTGTATCTGTTAATGTAGTTTTCATGCATGTTGTTAAGGGTGTCCATGGTGGCAGGGGTGGGTTCTAAATTTTTTTACTACCGGTTCTGTGGGCGTGGCTTTTTTGTGGGCATGGCTTATTTTGTGGGTATGGCTTGATGGTCATGTGACAATTATTTAGGATTTAGCAGAGGTACTGGTCTACCAGGCTGCACTGACCTATTCATGTATTTTTGCAGGCACTGATCTACTCCTGTATTTTTGCAGGCACCGGTCTACTACTTGTTTTCTTTTAACACTGATCAGCTGTAGGGCAGCCCCTTGAAGCCCTGCGGTAAGAGTTTAAACAGTTTTTTCCCCTCTAGCCATCAGCTGGGACTCAGGAGGCAGCAATAGATGGGGGTGGGACCAAATAAAAGGTAAGAATAACGTGGGGGTGGGGGGTAGGGGGGCCGAATAGGGAGGAACCCACCACTAAAAACTAAAGACAATTGATGCAATTGTAAGATTGAAACTCTACCCCTATTATTTACAAAAAAGGGGCTCCGGTTTGTGATTGTGGTCATAGTCATCATCTTCACTTTTTGGCCATCTGCAGATGGTCCTGGATTCTGATTTACAACTTTTTAAAATATATATATAATATCCCCCCCCACAAATAATTTGAGATTACAACTTTGAGAATTCCCTTGCAACATCACTGGATATTCTAGGGTCCCTGTACATCTAAGAGGGTATGACACCGGGAACAGTAAACATAGAATAAATTATCTCCAATTCTAGTTATTTGCATATTTCACTCCAGATAATTTATCCTTTGGGAACTGGAAAGCTGATGCTTAGGCATACTGCAAATACAGCTAAAACTTGTTATTGACTTTTAAGGCTAATAAACTATGTGAGCAATCACAGAATGTTCTCCATGTCAATTTAATTTGACTCCTGAAAATATTCTTCTTAGATTCCTTTTCAATATCTATTTCCTTTTTGTGTATTCTTCACAGGTTTTACTGACCTAAAGTGTGAATGAACTGAACATGTTTGTATTATTAATTAGAACGGAGGGTCACAGTCTAATTTGGACATGGTTAGTAATTTGACTTGCTGGGTTATTTGGCCTTGGCTTGTTACTGAATTTGCATACTTGTCCTACTGAGGTACTACTGAGTTGGCAAGACTGATAGGATCATATGATTTTTCTTGATCACTTGTACAAGGCAGAAAAGATGGAACAAGTCACACCAATTACTCTTTCTGACTTTACACTATTCAAATTTATGAGCAGCTGTCAGATACTATGGTTTAATTTTTTTTCTGCTGGAAAGGGATAAACTGTTCTGTTTTTATATATACTGGCTGCATCAATCATACAAAAATCTTGTCTCTCCACCCAAGTTTTCAAAAATT